GCCGAGCCGAAGTCCACAAAGAGGGTCCGTGCATAGGTCCCTGGGGAGTCGAGGCGTTGCAGGATGTAATGCAGTGTCATGTTCACTGCATTGTCCATTGACCTGTTTGCCCGGTAGGTGAACTGCAGGGGGTCCAGCAGGGGGTCTACGATGTCCTTCAGGTGGGCCGACACCAGTCTTTCAAAGGACTTCATAACTACAGACGTCAGGGTGACAGGTCTGTAGTCATTCAGTCCACTGTTTGAGGGTTTCTTGGGGACTGGAATGATGGTGGAGCGTTTGAAGCAGGAAGGAACTTCACACAGCTCCAGTGACCTATTGAAGATAAGTGTGAAGATGGGGGCAGCTGATCAGCGCACACTTTCAAGCAGGAGGGGGGTCACACGATCTGGGCCTGGTGCCTTTCTGATCTTTTGTCTTTTAAAGAGGCCACACACATCCTTTTCACTGGCTGATGATACACCAAATATCAGTCTTTTGTATTTACTCCATTGTACACTGCAAATGTAGTTATCTCCCTTGACTCTGGGGTTAGTTCTAGTTGATGGTAGACCCATTTCAGGTCTAGCTTGCTAAATATAACAGAACCATTCATACCTCCATAGAAATAAAATGAATTGAATATTCCCATCAGGAGTTGGTGGAGACCAGAACAGAGTGAATCATGGGCTTAACATTTATCAGGTCTACAAATAAATTATTATGTTGCTTTGTGCCTGCTGAAATTGGAAATATTTAACTTTGTACTGGCAGTATGTCAGTGTTGTGTTTACAGTTTGTTGCACTGTCCCAAAGTTGCCACAACAAACTAAGTAGAACTAATAACAAAAAAAACACAAACTGAATTTGCAGACTTAGGTTTTGTGCGTTTATGTGTTGGCTATGTGCTTCTCATTCGAGCTGCAATAACAAATTTTTGGAATATCTGACATCCACATTTTCTTAGGTTTTGTGCGTTTAAGTGTTGGCTATGTGCTTCTCATTCGAGCTGCAATAACAAATTTTTGGAATATCTGACATCCACATTTTATAAAGTTATAGTGAACTTGTTAGCTAACATTTATCTAGTCAAATATTCACTCTCCATTTAGCTCTGGTTTCACTCCTGGAGAAAAATATGTGGCTCTGTAGCTGCTAAATGCTGCACTATGTTCACCAGCTAATCACTAACTCTATTTTCTGGGCACGTGATGTAAAGTGAGAAGAGCACAGGCAAAATGTAAAATCTGTCATGTAACAAAACAGTTCTAACTTTGGCTGTTTTTGTTTTGTTTATGCAGGACCTCATCACTCATTGTAAGACACCTACAGAAAACATGGTTTTCATGGCCTTTAATGTCTTCTTCTGTCTTATGAAAAGTCCTTTCGATTGCTGTGTTTGAAGATGCTACACACAACCTTACATGTATTCATGTAATTGTAGAGCAGTCTGATCAAAAAGATGGTACAGCGTTTGTAAGTCACTTTTAGAAGTTCACTTCAGTTGCAGCACTACTAGCTAATGGACTTATTTGGACCAATTCTAACATCCTCTTGTAATCATTTTTAAAACATTTATTAACGTGCTAAGAAAACTTCAATGGAAGGCTAAATGTGACTCTAAATTTTACTGATATTCTACTGACAAAAAGTAATACTAAATCAGTTTAAGTAATGCCTTTAGGTTGCTGTTGGTTATACACTATGAGTATTTTAATTCGACTCTCCTGATTTTTTTACTGTAGAAATCTGCCCCCACCATTAAAAAAAGGTGTATGGCACAAAGTTAAAATTCTACATTAATGGCAATAAATGTATTTCACAAACCACACAGATGTCATTTAAAAATAACTTCAATACCCTGCTGATCCACCAGTGATGAAACATTTATACACACTGCCCACTTCTGGGTGAAAAATGATGATGCAGGCTCCAGGGAAAACAGTCTGCTGATTTTCCTCCCAGATTTATTGAGTTCTGAAGACACGGTACACACTAACCAAAGACCCCACTGGACCCTGGTCTTAAAAACAAGACTGATTTTCTTTCATTCACTCCAAAAGACTATTGATTCATTGTTCAACCCACATCAGGGTGAAGAAATTCTGCATTTGTGCATTAAAAGCATCATTTCTATATTAAATCCATGTGTTAAATAACACCAGTTAATGACAGACTGTAAAAAGGACAAATAATGTTCTCAGCATCACATTTTCCCTGCTTCCATGACTCTTCCAAATCTGAAAACATAAGTCAATCCTATACATGTGCTCCCTAAGGCAGCTCTTGACTATCTTCATTGTTCTCTGAAGCCTGTCTGCATGGACTCCATGTGCACCACAGGCATAAGGCAGTGCCGCACACACAGTGTCTTATTGTGTCTCCTCAGCCTGTTGTGGAGGTGGTGTTTTGGGGTT